CTGTTTTCCGCTGGTTCAAAGGTGCCCTTCCTGCTTTGCAGGATGATCGTGTTGCAACACACGCTGGAAGGGAAGACGAGTCCAACCAACTGCAAGCATCAACATCAATAATGTCGACTGTAGAGGACGGGCTTCTCTTGCCAACTCTAAATTCACCGACGGAGCAAGGTCAAACAAGAAGAGTTGCGCCGCGACCTCTTGGATGTAGTACTCCAATGTCTTCTGCCGACTCCAGCGTCCGCGCCACTGGATGGCGGGAATGCCTTCGTACTCGATATATGAATGGGTTGCGCCGCTTCCTCTCAAGACACCTGGCGTGACCCCCCTTTCAGTCTGCCTCCTAGGAATGCCCAATTGATCAAATAAAGCGTTCCACTGTCTGCGGAAGACGGCAGGACTGGCAGGGAACAAGCGGGCGCTCAAATCCCAATCAAAAGAAAGACAACGTAACAACATCAACAATGAAGCATCGTCCAAGCGAACGTGTTGCCGCCTTGCCAACCGGGCAGTCTTCGGGTTGCTGACATGGATAAACAACACCTGCTGCCAAAGCATGGCATCCTCAGGAAAGACCAGATCTCGTCTGGTTAGATTCAAGTACTCATTTGGGTGCAACATCGCCCCAAAACCAAGAATCAACATGCCAGCAAAACAATGCCAGCCCCACAACAATGCCGCTGCTAAAGCCGCTCTGAACAACGGAGCGGGCAACACTGCACGACACTGACCAGGCTCCTCCAGCTGCATACCTTGGTTTACCTTGCCGGAAGAGGTCAAGACCATAGCCACGCAGTGCAAGATTTGCTGATTCAGCTGAACCAATGACTTCTTCAAAGGGAACGTGCGCCACGTTAGAACACCAACTGTTGAAGGCTTCAACACATCGCTGCATTCGCGTGGAGGTCGCCGTTGCAAACCCACCAAGAAGATTCAGTTCACCACACGGTGCGTATCCCTCCCCAAATCGAGCTCCGGGATGCCGTTCAACATCCCCAGCAATCAACAACAAAGGCCGAATCCAGCACCCCACCGGACGCGACCACCGTGCAAGTCCCACCTCCCTGTCAAACAACTTTGTATTGCCTTTCTGAAGCTCGGCCAACCATATCGGAATGTCACGGGACGGACCAGGTGTGTCACGATCACGCGACGGTCCGTCAGCTCTGTTCCATTCAGATTTGCAATGCCAAGTCGCGGGGTACAAGCAGCCTCCGAGCACATAGCCCAACGTGGTCCTCAAGATCCTGCTCAATGCATATGAGGAGCTCCTTCCCTTGGCTGAAGCTCCCATTGTAACTCGACTATCCAATAGTCCAATCAACCGACTCCGAGGGTGTTGTTTTGAACAATGCTTTAGCCAAGTTTTACCCTGCACTCCAAACAATTAATATGACCACTGCGCTTGAAGCGAAAGCGGAACATTTCCCGAAAGGTCAAACTCCCACAAACATCTTCAACCCAACTTGGGTCTTCAAACCACGGCCGAACACACGACTTCGCCTCCTCCTGCACCGGGGTGGTGCAGCGACGAAGTGTTCCCACCTGTGAAGATGACCAGCTCTTTGCACCAGAGGCCATAGCCTGACAGAGAGCGATCGGGTAGGATGCTGAAAAACGACTTATTACAGCCTCTCCCACCTTGGCACACGGCCATACAAACCAACGCTGTCAGGCTTGCATCTAGAGTCAAACCATTTAACTGACTGCTTTGTGAAAGTCGCCTCAAGTGTAAAATGTCTGCCCTTATACTTGCAAGCACAGGTTCCCCCAAGTAAATCGTACCAAGATTTGTTATGTAGCCACTTTGACGGCTTCATGAATGCACTGCCAAAACTGCAAAAACATAACTTTGTGATTCGGCAACCCAGCTCCAAAAGAACTCTGAAGGCATGCAGCTGAAACATGACCGATCCTGCAGGTTGCTCGCACGAAATAAAGCTCCCTGATACAATATGGAATCTTAGTTGTTGTAAAGTTATAACTTTAGTTAGGGAACTACAAGTAAAGTTGTATTTCGATAACAGAACTTGTATTAGGATAAGTATGTACAACTATAGTTATACTTAAGGAATTTGACATCGAGTTATAACTTAGTAAGGCTAGAACAAGTTAGATGTGAGTAATTTATAACTAAACCGGGTGGAGTTAGATGGAAGTTATAACTTAGTTAGGTCTTAGTTATACAAAGTTATTTCGAGTTATTCATAGTTACAAAACTGAGTTACACCAAAAAAACATTGTGCAGTTTTTGGATCAAGTGTGCAGGAGATAAATAGTTTGAGGCATGTCGGCTGTGACGGAGTCCATGGCGAAGACACGAAGGCAGCAGCAGGACTACACGCGCTTCGATAGCAGGGCGGGTGTATAGATTCGCCTTATATCTATATCCCTTTTGTTTGTATATATATATATATGTATATGTTTGTATCCATATGACGACATTCCGTACATATAAGTTTTTTCGGTTGTCGGCCGCGTGTCGGCCCCACGTCAGAACGCAGTCGCCGTCGCCGTGTCGGCCATATGTCGGCCCCAATACATGTATACATACCAGACGCCCCAGGGTTGCATTTCGTGATGTCGGCCTTTCGTCGGCCCTGTGTCGGCCACCCGCTGGCGAGAAACTCATTTCAGCAATCCTTTTGAGCTGCTCCAACCGCCTCCTGCGGTTCTCTGGATCCACCACTGGGGTTCGACGTGGCGTCTGACAGACGAGGTGGCATCGAGTGGACCAACCGACTCGATGGCTACCGGCGAGCTGGTGGCGACAGATCGATCAAAGTATCGACTGTATACACTGAAGCGCACGCGTCGGCTGTAGCGTTTGGCTGAGACCTCCCCGTTCGCGCGCGGAAAAAAAAGCGTCTGCTTTAGGGAAAAAGAAGGTAGTTAGTTCTTAGTTTTAAGTAAGTTATGAACTACTTATGGAACTTATAAATAGGAAATAACTTAGTTATAACTTCGAGTTATAACTAAGATATAACTCACTTCTTCTAGGGTAAGTTAGTTATAACTTTACAACTACTAAGATTCCATATTGTAACAATGCAAGTGTCAACAAGAAAGTGGTCCGAATCGAAACCAGCAGGCTGGAGCTTGAACGTAGTCTCGGTCTCCGGAGTGTGTGAAAGGACCAGCAAGGCGGGCCAGCGGGCCAATCCCTTATACAACCATTGTAAGCTAGACGAGCGAGCGATCGAAACGTGTCGTCATCAGACAGGTCACCAAATCCAACACCAATGGCGTCTCGTTCGACGCCAGGATGCATGCGAAATCCAACTAGTCCATGCTGTCGCGACCAGTTGCCCTGGCCAGAGAAAAGCTCAATGCAATCGTACACAACTGTTGAATCCTTTAATGAACTGTCGACGTACTGTTGAAACTCGCTCAACTGAAGAGGCTCTGCTTCTAAAGGGCTCACTGCTGGTAGCTCAAAGAAAAAACTGTCAGGCCCCCCAAAACATTCAGTATGGTCCAACCCCAGCTCATGCAATGCAAGGTTTGCACCTTGCAGTCTGGTATAGTACCCCCTTTGCTCCGTGTGCCTCCAGAGTTCTTCAGCCCCGGCTGAAGAGAACTGCGCCCGGCAGATGCCCCCGCCGGAAGGGCTCGCATCCATCATGAACAGCTCTGGCGCAAACTTCACTCTGATGTCTGTCTGAATCACTGGGGACAAAATGCATAGAAGCATCAACTCATGAGAACACTGGGAGGACATGCGAAACACTGCGTCTGGAGGTAGGTTTTCTCCTTCATGGTATACAGCATCCAGGAGCGAAAACACGGGTCTCCGAAACAAAACCACGTGAGTTGCAATGACAATGCATGCGATGAAGCTCAACAGAGCCACGCGCTCTCGAGGCGCTGAAACACGGCCGCGGTCGCCATCGATCTCTGCACCAAGCACCGTGGCATGTGGCTCCCGCCGTCTCATCTTCCCTGGGTGAGCTGTCAAACCAACCTTCCTATAGGCCTCATTTGCAGCATCAAAAACTTCTATGTCCCGTGAGCTGCCCTCGAAAGCCCGCCCATCCTTGCGAACCTTTGCAATCCGATGTGGTCATCTATGGTCAAAAGTTCATAGAACGGGCCACGTGGCACGGACTGACGGTATTGGAAGCACTCCGGGGGCGCATGGCCGATGCAAGCTGTCTCAAGACATTGACATGACTTTGTTGGGCAATCTCAACAGCCAAAGCGTCCCCCATGGCCAGTGTGGCCAGGCAAATGTAAACCTGCCGATCTCGCCACTGCGGCTTGTAGCAACGCAAGTGCTCCAACTCTCTGCCCCAAAACTTCACACCAATGGCGTTCCGTTTCGATCTGTGTGGACTCACTGAAAATGTATAGTAAAATTCACAAAGATCGTCCGACGAAACAAGCAGGCGTTCATGTTCATCTAAACGGATCAAGGTCATCAAATAACCAGGTGCAATAGTCTTGGTGTAAGCAGAATAGGGGAAGCAGCGACTGTTGATAACCGTTGGGTTTAAAATCAACCTGTCAAATTCAGCATCTTTAGGAACAGCAAAAATACAAACCGCCTCAGGAGGGTCAACTCGTGAACAGGGCGTGAGTTGGCACGCTCGCAGTGCGTCCCACTTTGCCGCTAGCTTGAGCACCTCCTCTCTGCTGGCGTGGACTTTCGCCCGTGGCAACTTAGGCCAACTGCTATAGCTGGCCGGCGCAGCACGTCCGGATCATGGAAAGCACGTCGAACGATGGGATCACTTAAATGCGGGCTAGGATCAAAGCTCGGGGCAAGTTTCCACTTTACTCGATCGGCCAAAACCAGTTTGGCTGATGAACCAGTGCCAGGGACCCGAACCACCTGCTCAGACGAGTCTGCGGCTGGCTCCGGTGACTCCGGAACATCTGCAGGCTTCTTACCCGGAGGACCACGGTGCTTGTGGGAGTAAGGGTCAAACGATGTTTGGATGCAGTTCAAAAAAACTATGTGATGTCCTCAAAACTCATCAAGTCTTTGGAGGGCGAATGAGGCGAATGCATTAAAAAAAGCATGTTTAGCTAATTGGGCAAGCTTCTCACCAGAGCGGCCAAGGTTCTCCAGCGACACGGCAGGTGCACTCACAAAGTAGTTCCACCAAATCTTCAAGCCGCTCCAACATCTCCTGCTGTTGCGAGCTCATAGGGGCTGCATGCGTAGCCCAAAGTGATCCAATTCAGGGCGAGGACCACTGCTTGAAGACAACGGGGCTTGGTCTCAAGGAACCTGCGCCGCTTGCGGCGTCGCGGTGAAAGGCTGCCATGGGCTGTCCAACGACCCCACAAACGGGGCGGACAAGGCCAACAATCAGACCTGGCAACGAGCGGTCTGTCCACAGCGCGGATCGGCTCCAGCCTTCTTTGGGAGAACGCTTGAAAGCCACCCGGGAGTCTGGCAGTCTGAAGTACGATTTGCAAAAGTTCTGTGCGTCTAATTTCCTTTGGAAGGGCTTAAACCTTCCTCGACAGGCTGGAAGAGCCGCTTCAGCCCATGAAGATGGTCTGTGCCTCCCCTCTTTCCTTTTCATAGAACCAACAGGGGTTGAAGGATCTTATAGACTATCTCATGGGTACCCCAGTTAGGTCCTATAGGGTCACTTCACCTCTCTTGGAAGGATCTGCGAGCTTGGCAACTCCGAAGCTGGAAACACCTGTAAGCGAACCACGGCCCGGCCCCCGACCGCAGGAAGCAGTAGGGATACACTCCTCTGCTCTGAGCACCGAGAGCGCAGCAAAGGGCCAGACCGCAGCCGCTCAGGCGTTGGAGTTGCTTCTCACTTCAACTGACTGGTGGATGCCCCGGAGGGCTGATCTTCCTTGCCCTTCTTCTTCTTGGGCCGCCAAGGGGCTCTTTTGGGCTTGTCGCATCCTCCTTCAAGGTGGAAGGACTCTTTCCCAGGGCATTGGTGGACCGGATCTTGATTTCGAGATAATCCAGGTCCTTCATGTAAGCCACATTGGCTGACACCCATGACGCTCGGGCGAGCCGACTGAATGGGCTCATCGAAGCCTTCTGCTTGTTCTTTTGGCAGATGCTGTATTGTGGTTCCGGCAACGCCGTCAGCAACCAAGCTAGGGTGGACCGCCCATGGTCCACTGATCCACGTACAGCATGCCTTTGGATGCGAGCCCCATTAGCTCCTGATTGTTGGAGCGGAACCCTTGTTCCCATCCGGCCGCGAGCAAATATCCGAGTTGTGTGAGGACTTTGTTCTCGCCCAGCGGACAGCGACGTTCGAGGTAGTCGCGCATCAGCCCCGATCCCACCTGGTGTGGGTCGAGGCCCAGCTCTTCTGCCGCATTTGCCTGGACGACAGGGGCGATCTTGGTGAGGTCTGCAGCCAACTTCACATAGGCCTCCGGGCCAAACAACCTTTGATCCCGGAGCTCCCCCCCTCCCGTCTCTGAGCCGCCTAAGACTGATGACAGGGTCGGCATGCTTCTGCTGAGTCTGTTGAGTCAGTAGAGCCAACTGTTTCATCTGCAGCCGCAGCATCATTTTCTGCATCGGATCGGTCATGGCTCCCCCTAGCTCCACCAGGCTGTCGCCCAGCCCGTTGGGTTCCACGGCCTCCAGGGTTTCTTCTTGCTGAACAGTCTCCAAGATCTGGGCCGGCCTCTTTTCTCGCACGGCTCGTTCGTGAGCCCCCCAAGCGCATTGGAGCTGCACCCGCCAGCTGACGAAGAGTCTCCATGGTGGCTCCCTTCCTGGGAGGTGCATTGAACAGCACCGCATGAGGCAGTTCCGCCCCGGAAGCTCGGCCGCGATCTGGTGTTGGCGTGGCAGCTGCTGAAGGGCTGCCATGTGGCAGGTTGTGCACAAAATCCTGCAACTGCTAACTGCTGTCGGAGTGCGGCCACTTCGGACAAAGGCTCCCCATCTGCCAGAAGCTCTGCATCTGGTCCATCTTCGTTCCCAGTGGCATAGTCTGCAGCTGTGTCCTCGTCCATTGCCGAGCATACCCAGTGCTCTGCGGCTGCTGCCAAACTGGCTCGTCGCGGCCGGCATGCCACGTCCCCAACAGTGAACTTCAGGATCTCCACCGAAGCGGTGCGCAAACTGTTTGCCCGCATGAGCAGATGAGCCAATGGCCAAATCACATCTGCTAACAGCAAAGGCCCGACGCCTAGGCTGCGCCCACGAGGTGTCTCCATTTCCACCTCGGCGGCATAAAGAACCACCGCTGCTTCGTCCCCCTCGCCATCCACTTCGTGCTGGTGAAGGAGGGAGGCGACCTCCTCTAGCTCAGGCAAGCCAACCATGAAGCCGCCTGCGCGAACGCGGACCAGAGAGGCTTGAGCTCTGAGTGCCACGCCGTCCCTCTTGGATCCAGCAGCAGGAAAAGGCCCGGGAAGCAACAGCGCTGCTGAGGAGAGCACGCATGCCCTCCTCTCTCACGCCAACCGTTGAAGAGGCGGCCATGTTCGGCCAGCACCCAATATGCTTTTCTCCTTCAGCTCGTGAGGGGAAGCCATGGCACACAGCGTCCGGATGGAATGTATAGTGAAAGCAAGGGCCGAGTCCGGGAGGCTTGGTCGGAGGAGTGGTGTGTCGCCCTACTTGGAGCTATCGTCCCTGAGAATTTCGAAGCCCATCTGGTGGGGCGGCCTCGTGCTCGCGCTGGCGCTTCGGGCTGGACGCCCGCTGCACGCGTGTCACGTGTGAGGGCTGGGCTCGTTGCTCGGTTCAAGCTGGATCACGAGGAGGGAGCCTACTCTCCCAGCCCTGACATCCCTCAATCCAATCGGCGCTACATCGTGTTGAGGGGGGCTCCAAGGAAATCGGCTGGGTGGACTGAGGACAATTCCACCTTCCTTGCTGCTGTGCCTGGCAAGTGCACTCAGACTTGGGGCTGAGGAAACCACACAGTAGGAGCTCGCAGAAGCCGATCCAGCGCTGGCCAGCCTGTCAGGTGTTTTGGAGATGCGGATTGACAATCCGCCAAATTCCACTGCCAGGCCCTCGCACTCCGGGTCGCTCATCCACGAGCCTCTCGATAGCCTGCTAGCCTTCGCCTCAGCACCTGAGCGTCCACACAGCAGCAGGAGGCACAGCAACCGCGGCGCGGGGAAGAGGCTCAAGACCAAAATGTGAAGCACCCGCTGAAAGGTCGAAGCAGGCCCCCAAGCAACAACCAGTCAGTCAGCAAATGAGGGCCATGAGTACCAGAGGAGCTAAGCCAGCACTGGCCGTAGAAGCCGCTGGCCAGAACCACCGCAGCTCCCGCACGACCTCAAGTGCGAGAGGCCAACTCATGCGCCGCCCGGACTTGAACCAGAAAGCTTGACACCAGCGATGGAATGCTCAGTGATAGTGAGGCATATCTCAATTATGTCACACTGTCATTTTCTATATGGTGCCCAAAATCCTAAAGCGCAAACTCGACTGGAAAATCGATGCGCTGCAAACCACCCCAAGTGATTCTGATCCGCAACTGATCGGCAGTCCCACCGATCCCCCCGACGGTCGTCCAGATCGAAGGGACGCAGAGCTCGGTGGATGGCCGCGTAAGCTCAGCCGCCATCGAAGACGTATCGTCCATGAGTCAACACTACAAAGGTTGGCAGCGCTATAGAGTAAAGCTTCCTGAACCCAAAGCACTGAGGTTCGCAAAGCACTGAGGATACACATCATCCCTCACGTCGACAGACTGATTCCGTTGCGGCACCGAAGCGGCACGGCACCGAAGCAACTACCGCTGTCAGCACTAGTAGACTAGTACTCTCAATGCATAGAGGATAATCAGAGCGCCTAGTCATGATGACTCTACTAGTTAATTCGTTCAGCACATCATGCGGAAATTCTCCCTCGCTCCCCTCCTTCGACAAACCACCCCTTCATTCACTGTCACGTGCCCGGTGACCATTCCACCCCTGGGTACCGCTAGGACCGAGCTCTTCTGCACGAAACCCAAAAACCCAGAATTCCTGGCTCACCATGAATAGTAATTTGCCTGAATCCCACACAGAAGGGCCACAATGATGCCAGCCGCATTTTTTTCAGTTCGATGCCAGTGCCATCGGTGTTGTGTTTTCAGTTCGGGGCGCTGTTCCCCTTTTGATCTCATTGATTCTGCTTCAGATGCGTTGGGCATTGCGTCCGCGTCTTGGCCTGGCGCCAATAAAGGAGCCACAGCCAGGCGCTGCGCAAACACCAAGGAGCCCAACTCGAGGGGGAACCCTCCGCTGCCAGGTTTGACAGACATGAACTAACACAAAACGACATACCACTGCCACATATGCCGATCAGTTGGGGTGGTGTCCTATGGCAGTCCCAGACAGGTCGTGCCTGCGTATGGGACTAGGAGTTGGAACCGCCGTGTTTTCGATGGCACAATCCCCCTTCTGGTGTGTAGATCTGCCAGGGGAAAAGACATATGAACACTAGGATTCCAGTCAATATGTTGATTTAATAGCCTTTTACGGAACAACAATTCTTTTACTGAAGGATTTTACGCTACAAAACCGGCTCAACCATTTTAAAACTGGTATGTGATTATCATTCTCACTCCCCCATACCCATTCTGGGCTCACATCCACCAAGTCCTGCCATTCTGAAAAGTCAGAGCGTCATGTAGCGCAGGGTGTATTTTATGCTGTCACATGGTTCAATCGCATCGATCCGTCCGGGTGACTTGTCACGAACAAAACGCTCTTCTACACAATCAGCTATGGCCCAGTCACGTCTGTCACGCCATGCCGCCAGTATGTGTATGTGTACCCATTGAATTTTTCTTGCGCTAACAGCGGACGTGTTGCAACCTCCATGTTGCAGCCTCCATGCCTCTCAGGGGCCTCCTCCACTCCACGACATGCAGCATATAGATGTCAATCAAGGAGGTCGTCTTAAAGGGTATCAAAAAACTGACATCTTTGTCCAAGACCTTCCAAGTCCGGTGGTGGTGAACCCGGGACGCCGACCACAGCTAATTAGGTCTAGGTGATGTTGTTTCTGGGCACGTCGTGTCACCACCGTCCGTCACCACGGGTTCCTCTCTGGGACCGAGGGAGAGTGGGACTGGGATGATATGGTTCCCGACTCTTGGTGATATGGTTCATGACTCTCGTGTTCCCAGATCACCAAGAATGCAAGAGAAAGGATGGCGCTCAAACCCGTTTGGCCTCGATTCGTACCTTCTGAGAACCATGAGGTTCCAAATACCTTCTTAGGAGGTACTTGGAGGATCTTGGAGGTGTAGGGAAAACACAATCTTTCTTCCATCTCATGGCCTACAACGTCACCCTCACACTAAGATAAGGTTTCATCCAGTATCAGAATCCACGAGGAAAGGGATGAGGGAAACGCACGGCGGCTGAGTCAGCAAAATCACTTGAAATGTTTGAACACTTGTTGAAACTCTCGCGCAAAACTGTCAGCTGCAAAGCGGCGGGGGGGAGGAGTTTTGGGGAGTATCACGCAAGAACCATGGAATCAAAAAACACAGCGGCAGGGCGGACCAGTGTGTCATTGTGTTCGAGGCAGGTACACAGATTGGCATCCCAATCTGAATCACGGAATGTCCACAGCTGTCTTTGTTGGCAGCAGAACTGTGGATTCCCTGCTGCCCCCGGCTTGCTCGAAAGTGAAAGATAAACCTCCTAGAAACGGATGGGGGACACACACAGCGCCGCATAGCGGCGCTCACTCCGGCAAAAAACCTGAATAGCCACCTGACTTAGAAAGAAAAAGGAAAGAAAGAGCAAAACGAAGAGGGCAAGAGAGAAAGATAGGTGTAGGGCCGTGCATGCCTGCCGAGCGCACGGCAAATTACGGGTTCAAGATCCAAATAGCGACCTGAAAAGCCTTAGAAAGAAAAGAAAAACAGAAAGAGCAAAAAGAAGAGGGCAGGAGAGAAAAATAGGTGTAGGTTTCGGTGATGGGCTGGCTGCGTGTGGGTTCTGAGGGTACAGGTGGAGGGCGTTTGGAACAACGTGGGGGGGGGTGTCAAGGGAGGAGGTAGAGGGTGCGCTCACCTTGCTGTGGTTCAGGCAACATTGGAAGCGAGGAGGTTGTTGGAAATGTGGATCGACGTGTTGGGTGCGTCAAAGGAAGAGGTAGTGTAGCTGTTCGGTGGCAGTTTGCAAGGTAGCGCTGAGCTGGGACAGTAAAGTGGCTGTCTGCCGCATCAGTTGTTGGAGATCAGGGTTCTGCATCGGGTGTTGGAGCAGCGCAGGCGGCGGCAGGCAATCAGCGCTCGAAAATCACGGAACGGAGAACCGTGCAATGAGTAGACCGCGAAACATGCAGATGAATTACGTGGAGCCAAGTGCATCAGTGCAAAAGTGGAAATCCTGAAAAACATGTATAAACTACAACGGTTGCGAACTCAATCAGGCTAGAAAACGACAGTGAGTAAAATCGTCAGTGGTCCTCTTGTGGTGCAGCAGCTGCAGGGTTGGCGATGAATTGGCTGTTCAGGTGTCAGGTGGGGTAGTGCCGGAGGCCCAGGCAATGCCCTTGGTGGATGACCCAACACTTGCCGCGAGCGTGGTGAACGAACATGCAGCGCCGTGGTGTTGGTGGAGTAGTTCGCTGGCATGAGCCTCACCACCATAAATATACTTGAGGCCGGTACCCCTAGCAAGGAGGGTAGTCATCACTGAGAGTCCCAGCCGCCGGTGGTGGTGGTGTGAGGATTGGGAACAAGAGTCGCCAGCGGTGACGAGGTGTGTTGGGGGTTGGGCTGACTGCGCGGCAGTCGCGCGAGTCTGATCGGGGTGTAGGGGGGATGTAGGGGGTGTGTATAGTGTGGTCAGCGTGTGTGCGGCGGCGTCTGTGGCGCCGTCAGCGAGTGGATTCAGCAATTACCAGAATCCATGAGGAAATGAATGAGGGAACGGAAAGGCGCAAGGTCCGCGCAATTGATGTGTTGTACGTTAGTTTTGAGTGAAACGAAAGCTCTGGCAGAAAGCGGCGGTGGCTCGGCTGGCGCGGCTGGCTGCAATTCACAAGCGGCTGAAAGCTGCGGTGGGAAACCTGTTTGTGGGGAAGGTATCGTGCGAAACCACCATGAATCAAAACGAGCGGATTGGACAGCTTGTACAAAAGTTTTCGCAGGTACACACGGGTGATCAATCCGTGCTTCCCACTCCAAGGCATAGCTTCGTTGCACTGAGTTTGCCAAGGAGTGCTCAGTGCCCCTGCTTGTGTTCCAGAATTGGACGTGAGTAACCCTTTGAGACAGGGGGTGACACACACACACCAAAAAAAAGAAGAAACGTACGGTTACCGTGGAACCTCCGGTTTTTCTTCAGACTTCGGAGACCAAAAGGACGTTCCCTCGCCCCTCTCCAACGCCGTTTCGCGCACGCACGTGTTTCACGCGCAGACTCACCCAGACGCACCCGTGGCACCTTGCGGGCGACGTGAATCGCAGCGAGTGCGACCGTCGGAATCCGCAGCAAAAGCACCACGAGCAGCTGGAGGATCCTGGATTTCCACATCGGACAGTGCGGACCGTGCGGACAGCGAGCGGTTTCTTTCTGGTCAGTTCTGCGGGGCCGGAAGTGCGCAGTGCGCAGAGTGTGGACTGTGGCGCAGCAGGGTGGGCTGGAGATCCTGACTGGGATGAAGCGTTTGACCCAAAAACAAGACATCCCTTTGGAGGCCATCGCTATTAGGTTGGAGGAAACCACTAGTAGCAGGTTGAAGCCCATCTCTCTTGGAGGCCATCCCTCTTATACGTTGGAAGCCACCGCTGTTAGGTTGGAGGCCATCACTAGCAGGTTGGAGGCCATCACTATATTTCAGGAGGCCATGGCTATTAGGTTGGAGGCCATCGCTACAAGGTTGGAGGCCATCGCCGCAAGGTTGGAGGCCATCATCGCTATTAGGTTGGTCGCTGTTAGGTTGGAGGCCATCGCTGTTAGGTTGGAGGCCATCGCAAATTGGGTTGGAGGCCATCCCTGTTAGGTTGGAGGCCATTGCTATTAGGTTGGAGGCCATCGCTGTTAGGTTGGAGGCCATCGCTATTAGGTTGGAGGCCATCGCGCTAGAGGCCATCGCTATTAGGTTGGAGGCCATCGCAGTTAGGTTGGAGGCCATCGCTATTAGGTTGGAGGCCAACGCTGTTGGGTTGGAGGCCATCGCTGTTATAGGTTGGAGGCCATCGCTATTGGGTTGGAGGCCAACGCTGCTGGGTTGGAGGCCATCGCTGTTAGGTTGGAGACCATCGCTGTTACGTTGGAGGCCATCGCTATTACGTTGGAGGCCATCGCTATTAGGTTGGAGGCCATCGCTGTTAGGTTGGCGGCTATCGCTGTTAGGTTGGAGGCCATCGCTATTGGGTTGGAGGCTATCGCTGTTAGGTTGGAGGCCATCGCTGTTAGGTTGGAGGCCATCGCTGTTAGGTTGGAGGCCATCGCTGTTAGGTTGGAGGCCATCGCTGTTAGGTTGGAGGCCATGGCTATTAGGTTGGAGGCCATGGCTATTAGG